CATTAATTACTGTGCAGAGAGAGGAAAAGGCAGGACCTGGATGCCTAACTCCAGCTCACAGATCAGGGAGGGGAGAGTTTTGTTGTTGTGGAAAGGTTTCATCATCCCTGCTGCTTTGCATGCCATGATGGGTTAGTTGCATTTTCTCCTTGCCTGCAGACATTTCCCTTTCATGTTTCATGCACTGTCTCGTGGTATTGGTGTCTAGTCTTACCCAGGAGCATCAGGAGTATTGGGGCTTGGTGGGGCTGTTGGAGAAGAAACACACCCTGCCCTGAGTCCTTCACCATCCTCTGTGTGCTGTGTCCATGCATCCTTTCACAGTCCGGTCCCTTGGGCTTGGTTCAAAACTGTGGAGGAACCCCTAGAAATCCCATTCCTGGCTGTTCTTGGTCAGGAGACCAGAGGAGACAGACCCTGCTGCACAGGCTTCTCTGTAGGCAGCACAGGAGAGGGATGGGGATCACTGTGCTGGATGTTACTGTGACCTGGCACCCTTGTCTTCATGCTAGTTTGTGCAGCACCCTGGTACTGAAAGGATTAAGCTGCCTGCTTCAGCCAAACTCAGCAGGATACCTGCCTGTGGGATTCATTGTGAACAGGGATCAGATAAGGGAGGGAGTGGTCAGGGGAAGCAATGGCTCTTGGTTCAGGGATCCCAGCTCTCCCCACATACCAGTGTTTGGATCAAGGTTGGAATTGCCCCTAATCCTGGTTAGTGCCCCTAAAAACCTCCCTGCTGGCCTACTCAGGGAGTTCCAGTCCATGGTCCTCCAGCACATCTACACCACATGCAAGGCTGAAGCTATGGTTGTGGGGACAAACACAGGGGAGAGAAGCTGTGTCCTGCTGCCTCAGAGAGCTGACCAGGCTTGCCTGATGTGGAGAAACCACAGCAAGAGGAAGGGCAGTATCATCCCCTCTGGCAGCAGCAGGGTCTTGGGTCAGTTTAAAGCAGGGAGTAAGCCTGGTTTAAGAAAGGGCTTGGAGCTGCATACCTGTAGTATCCCTCTCTGGCATACTACAGGTATGTCTCTACACAGCCAGGCTGTACCCACAAACTCAATGTTTCTCCAAAATTGCTTCTTAGGATGTTTTCTCTCTTGTTACACACAGTCCCATATCCAGTTCACCACTGCCTTGCACATAGGAACAACCAGAATGAGAGCCAGAATGAGAGTGAACACACACCAGCACTGTGCTCCAAGCACAGGGTGATGCCAGCTCCAACCCCATCCTGCCCCTGCGCCATGCACTACAGCCTGTGTCTGACAGTGGGGCCCAGCAGAGCTTGTCCCTGGTTCTGGAAAGAGTCAGGGCAGGGGAGAGTGAGACGCTTGTCACCCCTGACCAAAGTCTGTGAGGAGCCACCTGCTCATTTCTAGCTCTTCCCTCTGGCTGTGCCCCCCATCTCCTCTCCCCTGCTGCACAGAGGCATGCGGAGACAGATGCTTCTGTCAGAGTGGAGCGGGCTTGGCTTGCTGGAAACAAATGGGAATTTGATTATACTGCTCTGCAGAGCAGGGCTAACACGATTAAAAGGCCATCAGGCAGGACTTGGAGGAAGGAGATTGCCTCTCTGTCTCTCTCTTTCTGTGCTGACAGTGGAGGCTCTCCTTTCCTTCTTCCTCAGCCCCTGGACTGCCCAGGCTGTCCTGAGACTTCACAAACATCCAGAGTCCAGATCTGAAGACAAAAGGAAGAGAAGACAGCTGAGAGTTGCAACCATCTTCCCCTGGGCCACTCAGGGCTCCTACCTCCCTCTCTCCAGCAGCTCCTGCCAGCTCTCCCCTCTGGCCTGCCTGCTCTATGACCAAGCTCCCTTGCTATTTACATTACAAAGCAGCCCCCTCTGCTCCACTCTGCGGGTTATATTTAGCTCCTTGGCACAGAACAGCCTGTGAGTTGCATTAGCTGTGTCCTATCTGCCAGCCGGGGACCACACTGAACAGCCGAGGTTCCTCACATCTCCCCAGCAGGGACGGGAGCTGGCTGGGGGGGCACGGAGGGACACAGGACCCCCTCTTCCCGCTGCCAGAGATGGCTGTGTGGAGCCCTCTGGTGCGTGGGCTGGTCTGGGCGCTACCTCTGAACGTGACTGAGAGCCGAAGAGTACGACCGGGCAGAGCCTGCAGAGAGCTCGTACAGGAGCTTTTGTGCGCTTGTGGTTTCCTTTCTGGGTAAACACCCCTCCGGGCTGGGTTGCTGGGTGCAGTGGCAGTGACAAAGGCTACTGCTGCAAGCATCACTCTGAAAGCAATGATGAAATAGAGAGGGAGGCCACAACTGCTCAGGAGGAGTTGCAGGATGCTGCTGTGACCTGCCACCACCTGTCCCAAGCCTCTCTGGCTCTAGGTCAGCTTTCCCTACAGCAAAGTTCTGCCGGCCTCTAGCTTGCCCTATTGCCACTGGAGCTATCCCACTCTGGGAGCTAGAGATGATCCTGCCCTACCACAAAACCTTAGTGGAGACACTCAAGGCAAGCAGGAGCTGACTTTGGACTCCCTTTGGCCAAAGTGACTGGGGATTTAGGCACACAACCCTGGTGTTTGCTCTGGGTTTGCTGTGGTGACAGAGGGCATTGGGTCTTTCTGGGATTGCAGAGAACCTCCCTACTGGGCAAATTGTCCCAGAATGTGGAAATCTGGTGCACAAGCCAGCATCATTAATAAGTTTGGCACGAAACTGTTACTCAAAGCCCTAAATATAACCTGAGTGCTGAGCTCTCTTCCACCCGCTCAAGGCGCCTCCATACACCGTGGCAGCTATTTATGGAAGGAACTTTATTTCCATGGGATTAATATCATTTCTGCTCATTTCAAAAGCTTTATATAGCAGCTTATGCCACCTGCCCCTCGTGATGACTAATGGGTCCCAGCAGGAGCAGGTAGGTTGGCAGCAAGGGGACTGAGGCCTCCAACCTTCAGCTGACATTGAGGATAATTGTGATGCCCACAGCCCATGGAGAAGGTCCTCCAAACTCTGTACCAGGGTTCAGTGTCTCCAGAGCTAGACAGCACAGCAAGGGGATTTCTGTCGGTCCCCTAGGACTTTCCATGCTGCAGGAGGAGCATATGATGGAAGCCAGACCCAAAACTACATGGGTGTCACAGGAGAGAAGAAGCAGATATCCACCCCCAGACACTTCCTCTCCCATTTCTCCCTCCCTTTGTTTGGCCATCCAAAACACAGGGTGGAGGAAGCAGCTTGTCCCAAGCACCATTTCTTCCTTTGCTCCTGATGTGCACATTGCTGCAGCATTCCCTCCAACCTCTCAGAATCCTCCCTTCTGCAAAGCCTGCATTGGACAGGGCAAAGTCTCTTGCAAAGAGACCCCTTGTGTGGGTTGTGTAGAACAGAGGGGCTTTGTGTAAGGGCAGCACAGGCTGGAGCATGTCAACTGAGCCGCTTGCTTGGGGTGGCTGGGGTGGGATGGGCAGGGTGTATAAAATCCCTAGCAACCTTGGATAATTCTAGATCAAATTCAGGCTGATAATTTAGGTTGCAATATGTCCCTTCCTGCCCTGGGGAGGCTGGAAAATTGCAGCTGGCTAATCTGTTCACAAAATGCACTGTGCACATCTGGAGAAGACAGCTAAGAGGAGAAAATCCTGCTCTGCTTGGCACAGTAATTCTTCATCCTCTGTGCCATCAGGGCAGAGACCCTCCCAGCTCTGTCTGGTGCCCCAGTAAGCAGCCCTGGGTACAGAATGAGAACCAGGAGGGCTTGTGTTGTCCCAGTTCCTGGCAGGGCTTAGGGACACTGGGTACCTGGGGAGGTCTCTGCCACCTCCCCAGGCTTCTGCTTGCCACCCACCACACGAATAACAAGTGCTGGGGATGAGTCAGCTTCGAGGCCCCTCCTGATCTGCAGGCACTAATAAGTTTTCCCATTAGTTCCCATTACTGCAGTATTAGAGAGCAATTTGCTCACAGCTTGCACTGAAGCCCTTGCAAGGGGGGAAAAAGGGGGAGTGCAGGCGGGGGGGTGACCGACAGCTCCTGCCACAAATCTTCCCCCTGGCAGAGCTCTGCACCCCAGGGTCCCCAAGGCCCAGACCAGAGGTCAGCCTCTGTCTGCCATGGCAGTGGACCTCCATGTCAGATTTCCACCTGCTTGTAAACTATGTGGCACTTGCTGAGCGTGGCATGACGTGGTAACATGGAGCTCAGAAGGACACAGACATCTCTGTGCCAAGCCAAATCTGGAGAGTAGTAAGAAGGCAGCTCCTCCTCTCAGTCCCAGACTCTCACAGCAGTCCAGGATCAGTCCTGCAATGCTCATGTCTAGTCTGGGCATGTGCAGGGTCAAAGGATTTCTCCTCACTTACACCTGAGAGCCATTCTGCAAAGATGGGGAGTAGTAAATCATAGAAGGTCTCAAACACCCTTCTAGCAAAAGAAAGGACAGGGTAGAACACCAGACCTTATTTGTTGTGACAGAAGAATGGAGCTGAAGTCCTGGAGATACTGACCCAAGCAGGATTTCGGGCACTATGGCTGGAGTTGGGAACAGGAGCTCACCTGGGTATCACCAGGCAGTGACTCCCATAAGCCCCGTGAGAGCTATGAGAACCACTCTTTACCTCTGTCAGCTTTGCTTGGTGATAGCAGGGGTGGGAAAGCACAGGAGTTGCAACAGAAGAGTCACACCAAAAGCCAGGACAGATCTCCCTTTGCTGCAAGGTACTTTCAAAAAGCCCAGACCACTGCCTAGGACGTATCACAGTCCCAGGATGGGAAGGGGGAGTTGGGTAGAAGGAAAATAAGAGGATCTGCAAAGGTGATAATGAGACTGTCACTGCAGAGGGGGCTGTTGCATGCAATGGGAGGGACTGGGCTAACTGGTTGCCTTGTCTCTGTGCTGAGATGGTTTCTGGAATGTGCTGGTAGTTGGTGAAAAGAGCCAACTCTGACCCCATGGGAGGGAGATGCCTCAGTGACAGGCCACCCCAGTGCCCAAGTGCATCCCTGACACTTGGAGACCCAGGTGTTCCTACCTGTAGGAGACCTGCTTTCTGATGGCCAAGTGCAGGAACTGCTCCTCCACCTCTGCCACAGCCACTGCCCCTCTCATCTCCTCCCAAGATGGATCCATGCTGTGGAGGCCCAAGCGTTGTGCTCGTCCAGTGCTCTCTGTATCTGCTGCTCCCTGGAAGTTTGCTGTGGCTCCCCTGGCCACCTCAGCATCACTCCTGGCAGGGGAGAAGTCTCTCCAGCTCCTGGGACCTTCAGCCATGCTGGAGTGAGGTGTCTCTCTAGGCAAGGAGTCCCAATTTGCCCTCAGAACTTCTTGGGCAGACTGGTCTTGTCCCACGGGGTCCTGCAGTGCTGCTCGCTTCACCTCCCCAGGGTGGTGAGACAATCCCAGCAAGGCTTAGCTCCCTGAGGGAGCACAAGCACGAGAAAAAACAGTGTCCAGCTTTTTGCAGTTGTATTTACTGGCCTCTTGATAGCAGCTTGAATAGCTCAGACACAGCAGCTCAGCCTCCTACCGTCTCAACTGCCCTGCTACTCTGAAGCGGAGGAATATCTGACACACACCTGGAGATGTTCGTGCTGCTCTTCGGAGGTGCTGCCACTGTGAGAGCAGTGGGGAACACAGTGTTCATTGAAGAAGCAGTCCAGGGATAGTGATGCTTGCAAATGAGTGAAAAAGAGCTTGGATTGCCTTCTGCAAGGTCCCTCTGGAGCCAGGCACATCCGTCACTGTTCCCGGCGGCAGCAGCTGAGCGGGAGTGGCAGGGAAAGGTAGGCAGTGAGGAAAGTGCCTGTGTACAAAGCCTGGAGCAGCTCTCGAAAGACAAAGCAGAAAGTGAGCATGAGTGTGTGCTGTGTGCGTGGGTAGGGGGTTGCGGGGAGCTGCACCAAGCAGGCAGCCTGGTGTCACCTTAGAGACACTTGAAACTGGCACTTAACTCTTCAGAGTCTGGGAAGGCACAGGAGGGTGGCAACTCAGCTGCTCCTCTCTGCCCGCACTCCAGCTGGCACCTGCCTGCCTGCAAGGGCTACTCAGGGAGCTGGGTCTTGGTCACTTGTCTTAACCAGACCTGCTGTCAGATGAAGTCAGGTAGCCTGGAAAACTGCATGACAGCAGCACCCCCAGCAGAGCAAAGTACCTGCTGTTGTATCCAATCATCCACCATGGATGACATCTATTCAGGGACAGGGTCCCCAGCTGTGGACAGTGGTACCCATCTGAGCAGAGGTAGTGCTGTAGCATGGCCTCTGTCTTTCCAGTTGGCTCACTCAGGTCCTTGCCACTTAGGAGGCTACTTTATTCCTGATTTTTCCTTATTCAAGTCAATTTTTCTCCAATCTTGGCATCCAGAGGTAGAAATGACCTTCTATTCTCTGCCCACATACATCAGAAAAGTTGCATCATTTATTTGTCCCGGGCTGCAGCTGGACTTTGTGACCCGAGTCCAAGCCCACCCTTATGCTGTGGATGTCAGCTGAGATAAGAGATCCCTACAAAGCTCTCATATGTGCCTGATTTGTTCTGTCCCAGATTCACATGCTGTGCATTTACCGCTAGGCCCCGGAAAATTCAAAGTTCCTGTCTATAAGAGCCATCCCCTGCGTCGTGGCAAGGTTATACAATCATGTATCGCACAAAGAGCACATTGCAGTCACCTCTAATCCCAGTGTTTTCCCATGAAAGTCTGGCATGATGGGAGCAGGAAACTGTCCTCAACCTGCTCTGTTGTATCACCATGGAATTCATCAGGAGCATCTCATCCCTTGTGCCAGCACTCTTCATTACGTCCATATGGCCTTGTGGCACCTCTGCTGCAGGGTGCTGTGGAACAGCGTGTTCCCATGCCACTTTTCACCCCAACCTGGGAAGCAGCAGGGGCTGAGGAAGTGCTGTGTCTTTTCCTGGTAACCACAGCCCACTGGTACCTCCAGTTCAAGTCAGTGAACCTTCGTCTGGCCCTAAAAGTCACAATGACATCTCTCTCTGGCTGCACTCCTGTGGGATTTGTTTCTCTCAGGGGCACAACAGCCCCCAAACCCACTCCTCCACAGAATCGTGACTGGCAGGGAGCCCCCACCCTCCTCACTGTGTGACTCAGCCCCTCCAGCCCCCACAGGGGTTTTGTTCTCCTTGAAAGCTGAAGCACTGCGGGGTGAGCCCTCCCCCAGCAGCACTGCACAAGCACAGCTGGTCCTGGGGAAGCAGCTTCATCCTCCCTTTTGGGGACACAGACCTGCTTGGGAGCTTGCCAGCACTCCCTACATGGATGCATGGCCCTGCTCCATGTCCTCCTGCTGCCCACAGAGGCTGGGAGCGGGCTGTGGAAAGGGAGAAGCAGCAGGTGCCCAGTGGCACCTGTTCTTCTCACCACCCACAATGAGATGTTTCTCTTCTGCCCTGGGCTCTTCCTGGCCTAGGGAGCCTCTGTTGCCATGGAATATGGGAGCCACCTTCATCTGTGCCAGCTGGGCTGTCAGGGCAGGACAAAGATGGGCTACCCAGAGGAGCTACAGGGGATGCAAAATGCCGGTCCCTTCTTGCTCCCAGGGAATTTTGGGAAACATCTGTCATGTCCTTTATGGTTAAAGAAGTTTGTGGCCACCAGGCTGAGGAAGTGGATGACCAGTCAGGGATGGAGACAAATCGGAAGTTGGGTGAGAGCTGGGTCGAGACTTCCAGGTAGGAAGGAAGGCAGAGCATTTCTCACTGGTGTTTGTGTCAATGCCATAGGAAAGGAGCTTCAGGGTGTGAAGCAGAGGCCCTTGTTGCAGGAACAGGAGACCCCTGAGCCAGGCAGAGCAGAGCCCTGAACTAACAGCACCTTTGGTCAAGTCAGAGTAAACTCCTGCCACTGGACAGTAAGTGCCTCCTGCATTCCCAAGGGGCCAGATTTTGCTCCACAGAAGCCCTCTCTGTGGGGAGAAGCTGCCAACAGGGGATTTCTAACTTTCTACCCACATGCCAGGTTATATAGCTGTCACACAGGCAGGGCAGGCCAGATTTTGTTTGTCTGGAGGAGACATCCCAGGATATGCCTGCATGAGGTGATGTAATGGATCACATAGGCATCTGCATCTCTCTCTGCCCACCTGACTCTGCTGGATGTTTTGTGTTTCTCTCATGAATGGGGTCACCCTTCACTTGGAGTTCCCTGAAGACTTGGGAAGAGCAGGCAGATGCTGCCTGAGGATGATGGGGCTGGACAGTAGGATTGGGTCAGTCCTGTCCTCCTGGCACCCTTCAGCTGAGCCAAGTTACCTGCTTACCTGGTGCTTACCCGCGTACCACACAGGAGTGTGCCTCTCCTGTGCTCTGATTTCCTTCTGTGTGGGCATGTGGGACAGTGCAAAGGCATATTGGTATTTACCATACAGACCCCATCCTTGTTTCTGCAGGCATAGGCAGGACATGAGCTTTCTAGGAAGCAGCATTTCTAGTGAGTAAAGCTCTGTGAAGGTACAGTCGCCTTCCCTGGGCACAAGAAAAACCTCCACCCTGCTCACCTCTAAAGCCCCATTTCAGCCACCAGATTAGAAAATCAACACAGATTTGTTGAGACAGGCCAGGTCAGTGTCCATCCAGGTGCTATCACTGTTAACAAGCCCCATAAGCACCTGGGGGATGTGAGGGGGTGCAACTGCCCCATTTTCCCCAGGAGGTGTCCAAAAGCCTGGGCTTCTTGCCTGGTAGCAGGACCAAAGCCTGTTTATCCCTTGATGGATATATGAGACAACTGCTGGCACAACTCCCAAGAGGGAACAGCAAGAGGGATCATGCCAGGCTTAGAGAGCATGGATACTCTCCTGAGAGCCCTAACTGCCCATGTCTTCTGAAACAAACAAAACATACCCACCAGGCTGCTGCCATGCACTGTCAGTAACCCTTTTGGCAGCAGCAAGCCAAAAAACCTAAGTATTTTATCTTTTTTTGTTGTTGTTTTTAATTGGCCTGGTAACAGAACAATCGGGAATAATTTGTCTCTGAAAAACAAAGTCCATGTTCTGTTAGCATTTTTTTGTTCAGGGCTTGTATGAATTGACAGTGCAGAGGCTTCTGAGAAATGTGACCCTGAGTGGGTAGAAGCCCAGCTTGCTGTGGCAGAGCTCAGCTGGGGCACTTGGAACAGACCAAACACAACTGAGTGAGGCTGAAGGTGACTTGTAAAGAAGGTGACTCTTGCTCTGCTAATTCTCTCAATCTGCTCTAATTAGTTGCTGTAGTCAAATTCGTAGGTGTGATTGACTGGTGCATTTTGGGAGGCATAGCGGGGATCAAAAGATCCTAATGTGTCTGCTTTGAGCAGCTCAGAGATATCTGGTAGACTGCAGAATTAGGAGGATTTGTCAAGATGAAGGGAAATTTTCTCCTGATGGAAGGGTTCTGATTGGTCTGGCTGTGTTAAAGGAGCCAAAGCCTGAGAACTCATCCTTATAAGAGCTTCCCTCTTGCACCTGTTTTGGAGTGTCTGTGAAGGGTGCAGGGCAAAATCTCCCTGGAAGGCAATTCCCAAAGAGCTGTGTGAAGTTTCACAGGGCTGAGCAAAACAGGGCTGAGCCCTTCCTCTGGATGAAATCTGATGAGTGCAGGGAGCAGCCCCACCCCATGGTGGGGGAAAGTGCATCATACTGACACAGGGTTAGGAGGCTGCTTTTGGATGAGGTGCTGCAGGGAAAACATCAGATTCTCAACTCACAACTAGTTCTGGCCCAGGAAGAAACTGCAGGGCAAGATCAGGCATTTCCTTGCATTGGTGGGTGGGCAGGGGGAAAGGAGCTCTGCATGGGTCTGCAAACCCATGTCAGACTAACCAGCCATGGATCACACATCAAACTCCCTCTTGGCAGTACAGACCTGGCTCAGAAGAGAGAGCTCCTATCTCTCCCAGACACTGTTCAATGGCCAGCTCAGTCAAAACAGCAAGGCAATAGCTTTACTCCTCTCCACAAAGAAATTATAGTCTGCAGAAAGAGACCTTTGTAAGCCCCAAGCCTTACATTCTGCTGTGGCACAGTACTGCTGTACCAGCCCAGCCAGAGGTGGGAGATAAAGACACCTTATAGCAT